AATATGCTCAACATCATTAACTATTAAGGAAATATATATAGTATTAAAGTCAGATTTATAGATTACCACACAAATGGATAAAGTTAAAAGACTAAAAATATCAAGTGTTAGCAGGAATGTGAGACCACTTGAATTTCTCATCCATTGCCGATGAGAATGTAAAATAGCACAACCACTTTGCAAAACAGTTTGACAATCTCTTATTAAGATAAATGCACACTTACTATATGACTGGTAATTCCAATTCTAGATCTTACCCTATAAAGGAAAATATGCCTACACAGAACTTGTACACTAATGATCCCAGTTTTAGTCAAAATAGCCTAAACTTGGAAACAGCCAAAATATCCATTAACAAGAGAATGAATAAACAAATTATGGACATTCATACAAATTCATGCTATTTACAACAGAATGGATAAACCTTGGTCTTAGCATGAGCAGAAAAAAAAACCACACCCCATACAAGAGTATATGCTATGTAATTTCTGTCTTAGGCAAAACTAATCTATACGGACAGAAAGCAGGTCAGTGACTGACTGAGACTGAGGATGGAAGAAATGGACCGCAAAGGGTCACTGGTTACTTCTGCAGTGATGGAAATCTTGATTGTAGTAGTGATTACACATGGGTATATGCAGCTGCCACATTCAATCCAACTGCAACCTTAAAATGGATGCATTTATTGCATAGAAATTGTAACTCAGCAAAGTTGACTTAAAAATAGGGAGGTAAACTGGGGCCCTTTTACTAAAGATTCAAATATAGTAGGATTGATACAGGGCCCAGAATCTGCATTTTTTTTAAGCCTTTGCAACTATTTATCTGTAACATGAAATAAAACAGATAAATGGTAAAATGGGACAAAGATAAAGTTATACACAATTTTTTTTTCTTGAACAGATATACTAGAGTTCCAAAGATATCAAGTATACTGTTCTCCAAAGTCATCGTCTTCAGGAGGCTACACAGTCTAACTTAAGTAAATGTAAGGAGTGTCCAAAGTTCAAGTTAAGCTCCAGCTGGGATACCTTTGTACCTTTTCCCAGGCCAACAATAAAATAAAGCCAGGAATAACAGGCTGTATCAATAGGTAATGCAGTGTCTGTGGGAACCAAAGTAACAGGGATGGGGTAAAACAGAACAAGTACTTTGAATTTAATTATACAATCAAAAGCAAATTTGAAAAAAAAAAAACCCAAACCAAAAAGCTATGAATGTAGTTGAAAATTTTACTTTGTACAAAGGTTTTACTTGAAGCCCAAGAAGAGTAATGGTGAGTGAACAAAAAACCCAAACACCTTATTTTTAAAAGAAATTCAACAGCCATTATTTTCTGGGCATATAATCTCCTGGATGTTATAAAAACACACATAAATACCTGCAGCATAGTTTAAACCTCTGTACTTATGTTAAAATGTTACAGAACTTTGATTACTATGGAATTGTTAAACCAGTTTCATCTGAAAAATCTAATTCACATAGGCTTATGATGCTTATTTTCATCTTTGTTGTTGTAGGTAGTGTCTTATTTTTCAACATCTGGCTAGAATTTTCCTTCCTTCCTTAACTCTTCCCCATTTTAAATCTTCTGCATTTTAAATCAGTCATATGGATAATTATGTGTCAGCCTGTTCTCACTGAAATAATATTGGCCAATTCTTGTTCTTAGAAAACAAGACAAATAGGTTGAATTGTTGTGTGTCTTTCTTTCATCCCTCACAACTTTTATCCTTTAACTGGAATACTGGTCACTCATAAGCTATCTGGGAGCACTGGTGGTCTAGTGACATAGAGTTGTACTGCCAATCCAAAGTTAGACAGTACAACTCTACCAACTGCTCTGCAAGAGAAAGATGGGCAACCTCCTCTCAACATGATTTACAACCTCTGAAAACCCACTGGAAGATCGTCTATGATTTGGTTCTAACTCGTTAGCACTTAACAGCAACAACACTGAGATTTCCTCCTGGCTACTTTGTCCTACCATTTGTTGTATGTAGTGAATAAGATTTCTTCATTCTTCCCCCCTCCTCCCCTTGAACTTAACAAAAAAGAAGTTTTCTAAGATGATAAGGGGGGGGGGAGTAAAATAAAACTATACTACAAATTCAGAGAAAGTAATGTATTAGTGCTGTTATTAGCTGATTCAAAGAAGTTGACTACAACTTACAGTAAATCTATGAACAATAGCTCAGAACTTCATCTTACTCTGCACCATCTTCACAATCTCCAAAGTGCTCATTACTTTTGTTACAGGTACTGTGCCAATGCATCTTGTTAAAGATCTTCCTCTCTTTCTCTGACCCTCCACCTTTCCTAGTATGACTGGTCCCTACTGGTAATGTGCCCAAAGTATGTGAGGTGAAGTTTTACCATTTTTGCCTCTAAGGACTCTGGCTGCATTACTCCAAGACAGACTGGTAGATCATGGGGTATTGAATGCTCTTCACCAACACCACATTTTAAAAGTATTAATCAGTGCCGGTAAGGGCTTATTGTTAAAAATTGCTTCCCTAGCCATTTTCGGACTTTGCCATGTGGATTGGCAGGAATATGTGACTAGGGTGTCAGCCTATCCACAAGGGGATCAGCTGTGGATCCATCAGCAGAATTAGAGCGCCTTCCCTACCAGCAGAGAACAAGAAAACACACCATGTCTTGCAGGTCCAGAGATTCTTGTGCACCCAGACCAAGGTCTATGGGAATAGCAGCAGTAGTAGCAGCAGCAGCAGCAGAGAACCAGAGACCTGATGTGAGACAGAGCAGACCTTGGGATGCTACCCAACAGGGAACCAGAACTAAGACCCATGTTTGTTGGAGGATGTGGGAGGGGGGAAAGCCATAATTGGCCAGACTGAGAGGTGGTATTCTCTGCTCTCAGCCAAGATCCATCTGAAATTAGTAATGATATCCCTCATTCCACAGCCTTTTCTAAATCTACCTTGAATTTTTGGCAGTTTTCTTGCAATGTACCGTGTAACAAAGCATGTCTTCCAAGCACAGGCATCAGATGGGCTTTGCAGAGTCAATTCACTGTGCATGGAATATTCACAAATATGTCTAGCTTGGATGAATAGTAGGTGATAGGGAGCCTGATGGACCATGTGTAGAGAATAGAATCGTACAACAGAGATGGGAATGATAGAAGTGCTCAAAACACAGTTTCCTTCCTACTCTACTTTTATAAAAGAGATTGTTGTTATTAAGTGCCATCGAATTGACAACTCATAACAACACTATGAACAACAGATACCTTGTAGTGTCTGATACACAATCAGATACACCATCCTCACAATTTCTGCTATACTCAAGTCCACTGTTCTAGTCACTGTGTCAATCCATATTGTTGACAGTCTTCCTCATTTTCTCTGACCTTGACTCTCTACCTTTTCCAGCATAATAATGAGCAAATTGCCATTATCTCTGCCAACTTATAAGGTTATATAGCCATTTCTCAGTCTTTTCCTGCTGCTTGGCATATATTTCCTTTCTTCTGATTCATTGTCCTGTTTTAAAAATCTTACTCACTATAGACCAATTTGGTTAACATCTCTATAAATTAATTTATCATGTAGTTCTTGTTATATGTCTTGAGACGGAACTGACTCATAGCTGACCCTCCAGCAACTTTTCAGATGCTGTGAATTCCATGGCAGCACTGAAACCACGTAACTTAGAGTTGGCAGTATACCACCAGACCTCCAAGATCATCATACAGTCTTTCCCTCCCCTGGACTCTAATGATACTTGGCCTGAAGGTTTATTGGAGAAATTTTGATTTGTATTGCAGTTATTGATATGCAGCACATATCTACTCTACTAGCAGCCTCTTTGATCATAGAAACCAACCATAACTTATAATGTATTTTAGACATAGCTTGCATTTCCCCATGTATATTAGTTGGCACGCATAATAACTATTGTACAAACATTCCATCATTGTCAAAATGAATGAATGATTTAATCCATGCTGACTTGCATCTCTGGGGTTTGTTCTGGTGTTTGGTTGTTCATTCAGTTCCTCTTTCTTGAAAAACTTTTCTCACCTCAAGTGTTACTCTTCCAAGAAAGTTTCCTAGAATTTTCAAGTTTTTGAGCTTACTCTTGACATAATATTTTTACCTTATTATTGATCATAATATATTAAAAAATTGTTTTGCACCTAACTGATTCACCTAACTGTAAAGTTCAAGACACCCAGGATTTCACCCTTATTTTACCGCTACTCAAACTCACAGCCATACAGTCTGACTCATAGCCAGCCTCCATTGGGTTTCTGAGGCTGTAAATCCCGAGGAGGAGGAAACAGTTCGCCTTTCTCCCACACATTGCTTCCAGCCTTAAGGTTATAGTATGCATTTTATGAATATTTATCAGATAAAAGTATCACTTTAGAAGTCTTTGGAAGTATTAGGCAATGCCATAGAGCGTTTACTTTCGTGTTCCTATTAGAAAGGCTCGAACTGCGCTACGATCTCATTCTCAGAGAAAACCTCCCATAAACAGCATTCTTTCCCTCTTATCTGCTTCTTGTTTATGGTGGGGTGGGGGTAGGGGCACCCAGTACTGCTGCTGCTGTTTCTCCCGCTTTCCCTTTCTCATCAGTCAGCTTCCATTTCCATTTCCAGCCCCTTTCCCAGTTCCGCTCCCTTCCCCCAGTGTACCCCTCCTCATTTCCCCTAGGCCACACACATCATCACTCTCCACCCTCGTCTCATCTCTGCCCTGCAGGAAGCCGAATCTCCTCACGAAGCCAAGAGGTGGGAGGGTGTGTGGGAGGGTGTGTGGGTGGGTGGGCCCTGGCGTCGCGGCCCCGCCCCTTGGTGCGTGTGTGAATGTCTGTGTGGCGGTGACGCGGCACCGGCAGCAGAGGGAGGAAGGCTGGACCAGCGAAGAAGCAGGCTAGCTGACTGCTGGGGCTGCTTGGCTCCTGCGCGCCCTCGCGCTCCCCGCCGCCTGCCGAGGCGCAGGCAGGGCGCAAGGCGGCGGCGGGCGGCATGGAGAGCCTGCTGGAGAACCCGGTACGCGCCGTGCTCTACCTCAAGGAGCTCACGGCCATCGTGCAGAACCAACAGAGCCTCATCCACACCCAGCGCCAGCGCATAGACGAGCTCGAGCGGCGGCTGGACGAGCTAAGTGCCGAGAATCGCAGCCTGTGGGAGCACCAGCAGCTGCTGCAAGCCCAACCTCCTCCTGGGCTCGTCCCCCCGTCTCCAGTCCCGCTGCCGGCTCCACCGGTCACCGCCACCGCCGCCGCCTGCGGGGCCCAGGAGCCACTCCAGAACCACGGACAGCTCTCATCCTCCGTGCCACAACCTGCTCCCGAGCAGCCACAGCTTCAGCACCACGGACAGCTCCTGGTGCAGCCCCAGCCGGGCCCCAGTAGCAGGGCACACACACCCCAGTCGCCCCACCAGCACCCAGTGGCACCAGGAGCGGCCGCTGACAAGGAGAAGGAACGTCCCCAGAGTTGTTGTGCTGCTGCTGGAGCTCTCCTTCACAAATCCCCCGCTGCCCTCGGCAAGGGCGTCCTGAGCAGAAGACCCGAGTGAGTGGGGAAGAGGGAATTATTAGGGTAGGAGGAAGGGAAGCAAGTGGGTGTAAGAAAAGATAGTAGGGAAACAGGGTGCACCTAATCTGAAGGGCTTAAGGTAAATGTGAAGTGAAGGAATGAAAGATGCTTGGCTAAAAGTGTTTCAGGGAAATTTAGGGAAAAGGAGGAAACTCTATCAGCATTTGAAAAGGCTTTAGGGTTGTTGTACGAAAGGGGGAAATTCAGAGCATCATTTGGGCAAAGAAAGAAAGAAATGTGTTTTAAGTTATCTGAGGATATTGGGAGCTGGCAGAGCTTAAAGTGGACGAGATTGGGAAGAAGTTGGAGTGAAGATGAAGCTTGGAAAATAGAACCATTGAAGGATGTTTAAGTTTGGGGAAAAATTAGGAGGGAGCCAGGGTAGTAAAATTATTTTAATGTTGATGAAGTGTGAAAGACATGGGGGGGGGAAGGAATGTTAAAACATGCAAAAGAGCTAGGGTCCACAGAGAGTTGCATTGAGGCATGAGGGAAATTCGAGGCAGAGGGCAAAGCTGAAAAGCAAGAATGATGTGAGAAGGTAAGGGATCTGGAGACAGGAAAATGATGGGTAGGAGAGGGCATCTCTCAGAGGAACGAGTTGGCTCTTTAACTGATGCAGTAGGAGTCAAAGCCAGGAATGGTTCATTTACAGAGGCACACTCTGCTCTGCCCTGAGTGGCCACTTTGGTTCTGAACCCCTGCAGAGCTATAGGGGTACAAAGGAACACCTCTTCAAGTCATTGCAGAACTCAGGTCTGCTTATAGCATCTTACTGTGCTTAAGGAAGATTTTGAGGCAGGATGCTTGGCTATTGTGGAAAGGGAACAATGGCAAGGAAGACAGCGAACAGTTGGTATTTGAACATAATGCCTCCTTGAATCTATCTACTATGGAAAACATTCTTTCCTCTTGGGTATTTGGTGACAACTGGAATCAGATTGAGTACTGAGAGAAAGATCCTTATTAACCCTTAGTGAGGAACTCTTCGGTTTTTCTTCATTCATAAGAGCCATGAAGTAGGAACATGTGGAGAAAAGAGAAAAGAGGCCTGGAGTATTTCCTCCTCTGTGTTGGAAAAGTGTGATTGTGTCAGATTTCTGCTTCTGATCAGCCAGGTGGTACGAGGACTGCAAAGACTGGCTGCTTAGAGGAAATCAAATAACTGCTTCTGACAATGATAATTCCGAATGAGTTGTCAGAGGGGATAAGGTGAGATGGGGAAAGTAGAGAACCAAAAAAAAAAAACCCACAAAAAAACCCCAACCTCAATTTAGCCTTAAATATGTTTTAAGGCTGAGAGTACGTACTTGCGAAGCTTTGATGTATTCCTTAACAATTCATTTTCTCCTCACTTCTGTTGGAGAGTTAGAGAAGGTGGGTCAGGGCTAGTCAGCTCACAGAGTCAGTTTTGACTGTAACCATGGGGTGTCAGGGATTGAAGATTTGGTCGACCTAAGTAAAGCTTCAGGATAGAGCTTCATTCCTCATGGTCCACAATGGCTTATGTATTCTTCCCTCAATTTCAGTTTTCTTTTCTCATCTAGATTTTTTTTCTCATCAGGTTTCCTTTAGTGACTGTGGCTTAGTATAAGGCAACAGTCTTCCAAGACTCTCTGTGGCCTTGCACCCAATTAAGAGAAAATGAATCATTCCCGTTTTTCTGGGGGCAGCCACGGCTTCTTGGTAATTATGATTCTTCATCTGATTCTTCTTATGCCCTCTGGTGTCTCCCTTCTCACTCGCTGCATCCCCACTTTCTTTGCATTCTTTCAGGGGAGTGTTGTGGCAGGAATGGTTGATAAAATATCCTTTTTCTTGAACAAGGACTTTGGTGTGGCTCTCAAACTGGCCCAGTGAGCCCAAACCCTCATACACTGGTGCTCCTGCTGGGAATCCAGGGATTCAGAAACCACCTGGATTCCTATCCAGCTTCAAATGCCATTACTACAGAGAAGCTGGGACTTCCATTCTTCTCTTCATCCTGCTTTTTCTTCCCAAGAGAATAGAAAAATAAGAAATAATTAGCATGGGAATTGTCGGAAGTCTTTTGCTTAGGAAGCTGTATCAGTTCCTAAGAGGTTAGTAACATCAGCAATACTTTCCTTCATCCAAATCCTCCTGCTTTGTTCTCTGACTTCTCCAGCCCGAACCCAAGGACTTAGCATGACCACGCACCTCACCTCCTCCTTGCAGCTTTCTCTCTTATTGCAGGTGAATCCTGGGTATCTTGACTGGTTGACTGCATTAGGACCGTTCATTTATTTCCCTGCTGTTCTGCCTGACTTAAACCTAAGGTTGGCCCCATCTTGCTATCTGCTTATGGCCTTCCTTTTGAATATTCGCCTTCCTGTGCCTGTTATTTTTTATGGTGCAGTTGAAGTCTGCAGACAAACAGAGATGTTCATGGATAGGATGGGTCAAGGAGAAGGGATCCGACAGCCTTCTCCCTGGTATTTCTTCTGAGGAGCTCCCTACTGAATCAGTTCTCTATCAGGCATGATGAAGGTGGAGGACCAGACAGAATAAAGGGCTTTCCTGACCATAATTTGGCTGTGAATTTTACTACTACTACTTCTTTTTTTTTACTCTGCCTTGTATGGTCTCACTGTACTTAGGATGAGGCTCTGCTGAGGTTGCTGAGGGGTAAGTGTGGGTTACAATAGGCTGGGCATTGTGTCAAACACATTTTATCACTGTACGGTTTGCCTTTTAGCGCCAGAACTACTCTTCCTACCCATTTCCAGGAGCTGGGAATAATGGATTGTTTAGTTGCCACCTGATCTGCATTAATATGCAGTCTGGTGGTTCGCTTTCTGTCAACTGAGATAAAATGGTGGTGGCCTTGGAGGTCAGATGGAGGAAGCAACAGTGTGGAATGGATGAGGGCAGAAGCACTGTGGAATAAAGACCCTTGAGGGGTTAAGCTATCCTCCTTCCCCCACCCCCATAATATGCTTCCTGACTTTTGCTAAGCTCCAGCCTCCACGCTTTTGCCTCTTAATGAAAGCAGCAAACATAGCTTCCTCCTCTTTATTTTTTCAATCAAGGCTCACAGCATCTACAGAATTGATTACCATCTCTTTGCTGACTGAAGCTGAGCCCCAGTCAGGCCTGAAAAAGTCCTCTCCTTAACACTTAAGCAAATGGCCCTTCCTGAAGCTACTGGTCTTAGTGTACCCATAGGGTTTATATTTAAGTGCACACATGTCCATCCATCCAGCTACGCAGTTTGTTTAAGTCCATGGGTCTTAGGATTTGCTCTTACTTCCAAACCCATGGTTAGGGCGTTACTGGAAGCTGGGCAAGATTAATGCATTGCAATTCAATCCAGCTTCTCACCTCAGTGTGGCTGTAAAATCTGAATGGTTCAGCAGCTCTGACCTTCCCTCTCTTTCTTCTTCCCTCTCCTTCATAATAAACTCTTTTTCTCACAATTCCCTTTTCCCCCCTTTCCATCAAACAATTCCTTTTCCCCATTTTCTCCCTTTTAATTATTTAACTTAAGCTTTCTCCCTACATCCTTTAAGAATGCATGAATCATAAGTCATCTTATGAGTTCTCTGATCTTATATGGACTTGAGTATGAAAGGATGGCTAGAAGATCATTGTTGTTTTTGATTGCCATCAAGCAAACATGACTAATAGAGACCTTATGAACTAAAGACCTGAAGCCTTTCTATAGCCACCATCATTTATCAAAGTTCATAGAATTAGAAACACTATTTATCCCATCTATCCCATTTATCCCATCCTAAGTTGTCTAAGATGTTCATTGGAGAAGTTATCTCTGTCCTTATTCAAGGCTATCTGTTTGGAAGTGGCAGCTCAAGATTGGTCCAACTTGAAGCTATGATAAGAGCAAAAAGGTCCATCAGTTAATACTATATATCAAGTGCGCATTCTGTTCAAAACCCTGAATTCTGTGCTGCAAGTGGTCAACTCAATATTATCATGAAACACATGTCTAAACAAAATCTAGACATTTAAACAAGTGCAAGCACACTGAAGGTGCTTGGAGGTATCCTAAATCAAAATAGCACATGGTTAGAAGGGCAAGAAAACAAATGCTGTTCAGAGATCAGAGAGGTTTTCTTGGTTATCATCAAGAAATAGTAATAGAGGGGATAGCTGGAGAGGGAGCAGAGCCCTGAAGAAACAACCTATTGAAATGTCTGTCACAGTCATGTATCATTCTATCCTCAGGTGGCATAGCTCCCCTTGCCTCAAGCCCCTCTACATCAAGCTAAATTCAATTGAATAGGGTAAAAAGAATCTCAGTGTGCAATGTTTTTCCAACTTATGTCTAGAAGGTCTGGTTGCTAAGGGAGCATTGTTATGGCCAATGCTCAATCAAGTTGCCTCTCATCATTTTCTTCCTTTACTTACACCACGGTGAGGGCTTCTAGCTGCAAGTTAGGGAATGAGGCCCGAATGAAGGCTCCATGAGAAGAGTGAGTGGGTGGTCTTTTGTTCATACCTGGAAGCCAGCACAGAATAAGCCTTTGTGTATATTTGCTGTTTCCTCCCTTCCCAAGAACCCAAACCACTGTTCTTCCCTCCCTTTCATCTGAAGAGTACAACATTCAGGAAAAATAAGTCATGCTTTGGCCACAGGAACATTTCTGATTATCTCCCTTCTCAACAGTCCCCTCCACCTTGCCTCATCTGTCTCAACTCCACGTCTTCTCGGACCCACAAAGCTAATGCCATAGGCCCTCACCAAAAGATATCCTTGCAGAGTTTTCTGTTGGCCTGGAATCAAGGAATAGGAACAGCAGTTGGTCCTGCTGATTCAGCAAATATCTGTGCAGACAGAGATTCAAAGGTCACTCATAAAAAAAAAAAACCACGCAGATGGGGTCAGGACTGGGTGGAGAAACTATGAAAGGGGGAGTAATACGAAAAAGGAGGGTAGAGGTAGCATGAAGAACTGTGTTCATGGTCTGTAAAGAGACTCAGGTCTGTATTTAAAT